AAGTTTTGTGCAAAAACGCATGATCGCTCCGGCTCGCCTGGTGCGTTCCAGCCTACGTTTCAAAAAGCGAGCATTTTCCGAAACCCAGACTGGAACGCACCAAGCGGGCCGGTGCGATTATGCGTTTTGCACTTTTTGTGTCGTAGCAAGATCGCAAGGAATCAAAGTAGCTAACCCTATGAAATACTGGTCCTCAAAACTCGGGAAGTTAATTGTGCAACTGTGTGGTATGTCAGTTGGAGGTGTCGACTTCAGTGATCCGACAAATGGAAAGTTGCTGGTCCGCAAAAAAAGGCCACACAAGCAGAGTTAAGTTTAAAATGTTTTAGTCGCACATGAGCAGGAAACATTCCCTTAAGATTAAAGCCTTCAGCTTTTCCCGTTCCTGAGTTAGCAGTTTTCCCATCAAAATCTTCACGTGCCCATACATGAGTACTGGACGGTTTTAAAAAGCTGAATTTAAAATCTTCTGGTCATAAATGAGTAGGGAACATTACCTTAAAGTTTCAGCTTTCTAGCTTTTCCTGTTCCCGGGTTAAAAATTTCCGCGCCAAAATTTCCACGCGCTCGCATGTAGGCACTGGCGCTTCTAAACACCTGATCTTGGTCGTACATGAGTAGAAAACATTCCCCGAAAGTTTCAGATTTCTAGCTTTTCCCATTTCCGGGCTAGTAATTTTCGCGCCAAAATCTCCACGAGTTCGTACATGAGCTCGGGCGTTTTTAAACATCTGATTTTGCTCGTACATGAGTAGGGAATATTCCGTTAAAGTTTCAGCTTTTTAGCTTTTCCCGTTCCCCGGTTAGTAATTTTCGCGCCAAAATTTTCACATGCCCACAAGTGGGCTCGGGTGCTTCTAAACATCTGATTTTGCTCGTAATGAGCAGGGAACATTCCCTTAAAGTTTCAGCTTCCTAGCTTTCCCCGTTTTCGAGTGAGTGATCTTCGCGCTAAAATTTTCACGTACCCATACGTGAGCCTCTGGCGGTCTTAAGGAGCTGAGCTTGAAAACTTTTGGTTGTGCACAAGTATGGGACATTACTCCAAAGTTTCAACTTTCTAGTTTTCCTCATTCCTGAGTTGTGAATTTTCCCGCCATAATTTTCACGTGACCGTAAGTAAGCCCCGGCCATTTCTGGGCAGCTGAATTTGAAATCTTTTTGTCATACATGGGTAGGAAAAATTCTCCCAAGATTTCAGCTTTCTAGCTTGTCTCATTCCCGAGTTAACGATATTCGCGCCAAAACTTTCACGTGCCCGCACGCAGGGGCCAGACGTGCGTGAGAGTTGAAACCTCGGTCCTGGGGTGGCACTTGGCTGGCGAGCACACTGGCAAAATTTCAGCTTCAAAGCTTGCGTGGTTAGCGAGTTGAAAAATCCAAACAGACGACCACACACACATATACACACACTGACAGGGTCGTTGCAATATGCGTTTTTGCTGCATGTTGTAGCGCTCTAGCGCTGCACGGCAAAAACGCATAAAAACGACTGGACTTCATGCAAAAAACCGATAATCATGCACCTGATGTCCGTGCGGCTCTATAATGCCTTCATCTTCATCCCAACTGACGCCCTTTCTCCTGTATGCCGGAAAGGATCAAAGTACGCCAATATGATCCAAGTGTTAGGCTACAGCGTAGGGATCATTTCTGCTAATAGCGATCAGCGAGTTTGATACAAAAATGTATGATCGCACCGGAGAGCCTGGTAAAATAGCTCAGCAATGGCTTTTACGCTGGAGCAATACACGGGAGACACAGCGCCGGATGAGAGAGCGAGTGCACTGCCAATTTCCGGCATGCTCTTTCGTGGCTCCCTCTAGCGCGTCTCGCAGCGAGCATTAGTACTGCGCATTGCGTTGCAGTTCACGCAACCTAGCACAACGGTGAAAGATCTGGAGACCGTGACCGACGAAGCCAAGCATACCGAATATTTGCGGTGATGAATAGAAGTACTGCGGCAATGAATTTGCGAATCGCATCGTCTGTAATCAGTTATGGATGGAAGGTCGAACACCCGAGGATAGCCGCGAATCCCGCTGCTGCTCTTTCTTTAGCACTTTTCTGCCTCATTCACTTCTCTTTTGTGTAACCCTTGAAAGGGCACTGTTTCCTTCATCCGGAAATCCGTGGAATCCGTGTAACAATTTTTTGATGATGGCTCACCTCTAAATTTGTCTCTGGCTCGAGTGATCACTGTGTGCAACCCAACGAACGGAGCGTATATGGGGGACACTGAAGAAGGAAACGTCTGCGTGATTAGGATGCTGGAGCTGTATAGGGGCAGGGGAGAAGTCACAGACGGTTGTACTAGTGGCAAGGACATTTGTGGTTTAACCTAATTTCGTTTTTACATTGAACAAATGCCAAATTTGTCGGAGTCCGAAAAGCCCTATTACTCGAGCTTACGCCGAGAGCAATCCTAATCCTCCTGTTTCGAGAACTTCCCTCACACTTGCCTTGCCCCCTTCTTCCCTCCCCCCCCTCTCCGCCCCCAACCCAAAGAAAATATGCAAATTGCGTTAGCGGGAAACGATTTCGGTATCGAGTTCCTTCTTTCATTACGTTGATATCTGGCCTGAGAGCAACTTTTTCAAAAAGATCCTTTGTTTCTCCCTTCTAAAGGCCT